GGAGACTTTGAGATGACTTAGTCCACTCGGATACTTACTGGCTGCATGATTATGGCCAGGTCACCTGGGATTCTTTGGGCTTCATTTTCAACATCTGTGAAATGTGGCTGCTCTGTGTCTTATGGAGTTGTTGTAGGGAGAATGCTTTGTAGACCTTAGGGGTTACATAAAGGAGAGTGACTACTATCTTTTCATATCTTTATAGCAGACAGTCTAAAGCTGTTTAGTACTGATACCTTTACTTGATACATTTCAGCAGCATGTAAAGTCCTTGAAGGCTTTTGTTTCAGTCTGTGGACCTCCAGTGCCTAGCATAATGTCTTGCAGATAGTTGTCGCTTAATGAATATTTGTCGGCTTAATATAACTTGAATTGAATCAGAAAGTAGCAGTAAAGAGAGATAATTGTGGGGCAGTACAAGGAAGAACAATTAGTATTGTCCAATAGTGGGGTCAGTTGCCCTACCAGATAGGGAGATCCTTGTCACTAGGTATATCAAGCTGAGGCCTGTAGGGATTTCCTGGATTGTCTGGGAGAGATAGAATTGGATTAGATAACCTACAGAGTCCTTTACTACTCGTCAGACCTCATGATTCTGGCAAGCCTCTTTTGTTACAGGAACCATCTCACTTAGTCCATAAAATCCTCCCGAGTAGCACAGTGCAACTCAATTTGCTTGTACTTACTACCCTCCTTGCAAGGAGTCCCTGGGAATGAGAGAATAAGCAGTCTAGAACAGTGGTTCTTAAAGTTTGGTCTGTGCACCCCTGAAGGGTAATGTATAAGATATACTGAATTCACTCTACAGACATAGCAATTATGTCTATACAATCAGATGTGTATTTATAGTCAACCTTAAGCAGTTGAAGAGCTCTCTAAATACTTAATGCCTTTCCTTCTCCTTGGGAAGTCACGAGACCAAGAGACCCCAAGTTTTGAGAGGAGATTGCTTTGCTGAGCTCGATCTTAGAGTTTATACTGCCAGTTCCTTTGGGTGAAATGGTGGCAGGATGAATTGAGTAAATGAGCTGGAGTAAGAGAAGCTGAACAATCAATTAATCAACCAATCAAGTATTTATTAAGCAATTCCTATGTGCAAAGCACTATATTAGGTGATTCCTCCTCAAAATGAGCTTACATTCTAATAGGGGAGACAATAAGTACATATAAAAATACATACAACACAAGTATAAAGTGAATAAATACAAAAACACATACCAAAACAACAAGAAGGAGAGCTCTAACATTTGGAAGAACCAGGAATAGCTTCATGCAGAAAATGGTACCTGATTTGGAACTTTAAGGAAGAGAGGAATTCCATGAGAAAGAAGTAAGGAGAGAGTGCATTCCAGGCATGGGGACAGCTAAGCATAGAGAGGGGAGATGGAATGTTGTGATGAGGAAGACCAGTCTGGCTAGATTGCAGATTGTAAGCTAAACAGAGATGTCCATACTTTACCCCAGAGGCACTGGAGTTGGTTCAGTAGAAGAGTCACATAGTCAAATCTGTGCTTAAAGAAAGTTACTTTTGCAGCAGTGTAAAGGATGGACTAGAGTGGGGAGAGACTTAAGGCAAGGAGACCAATTAGGAAGTTATTGCAATAATCTAGGTGATGAGGACCTGGAGTATGGAGGTAGTCATGTAGGGGTTAAATAGAAGGGGTTAAATACAAAAGATGTTGTAAAGGTAGACATGACAAGATTTGACAACTGATTGGATTGGTGGGATGAGGGACAGTGAGGCAACCAGAACAAACTCCGATTGCCAAACTGAGATACTGGAAAGGATGATGGTGCCTTCAACAGAAATAGAGAGGTCTGCAAGAGGATAGGGTTTGGGGGAAAAAACCGAGTTTTTTCAGACATGTTGAATCCCAAGTTGAAATCTCTAAAAGACAGTTGGTGATATGGGAGTGAAGCTCAGAGGAGAAACCAGGACTGGACACAGAGATGTGGAAAATATGCATAGAGATGATAATTAAACCCTCAGGAGCCAATAAGGATACCAAGAAAGAAAGTAGATAAGGAGAAGAGAACCCAGGACAAAGGCCTGGACAGATTTGTAGCTCCTCCTGAAATGATACAAAATTCACATCTTTAACAAGAGATTTTGGTACCTGCAGAAATTCATTTGGGGAGAAAAGGGAAGGATCAAAGGAGACTGCTCCCATGGTGAAGGTGTCAAGAGACACAAGGACACAAGACCACTCTGATTGTTGGTCACCTGATTTTGTGGCCACAATTCTGCTGTTTTGTAGCTCCTTATTTTAACCCACTCTTGCTAAACTTAGTTGTTTTTAAGTTACAGGAGTGCTAGTGTCGGTCAGTGCCTTCTAGATTTGGAGGCTCTGTGACAAAATCCCAGGCCTTTCAACCTAGTTATGTTTCTGTTAATACCTTTGTTTTCAGTTCAAAGTACTCTTTATAAACTTCAAAGTGTTGTTACAAATTCCCTGAATACCAGTCATAATTATATTTCAAATATAAATTTAAAACATTTTTAAGTGAAATACAAATCATTTTTGATTACTTGTCTTTTTAGACTTCCTCAGTTTTCACATCATCTAGAATGAAATATATAAGGGCTATATTGATCGGCCAATAAACATTTATTAAGCACCTACTATGTGTCGGGCACTGGGCTAAGCACTAGGGGGGATATAAAAAGAGGTAAAAGACAGTCCCTACTCTCAAGGACCTTACAATCTACATGAAATAAAAGGAGGAAAAGAAAGCTTAATCCTATTGGCAAGGGTGGCTTTGAAGAAGTAAAATTTTCAGGGGAATTAAGAAAGGTTCACCTGTCCTAAACCATCTCCTTCATGGGATTCCCTTTCTACCAAGTCTAAAATCCCCCACCATTAAAGCTAGGGTGACTGGGGCCAGAGACATAGGCCTGAGATGGGTGTGTCCCAGAATACCAACTCTGGCTACTACTTGTTTTGGGAAGGCACTGATGATCTTTCAACTCATTCAGCCTAGACTTTTTCCCTTGAAGAGTATGGAGTTCCATTCTAGAACCATTGGCTGCTGGAGTGAAAATGTTGTCAAGATCCTATCTGAATAAACATCCTAAGTATACATAAGAGGATTTGGAGGATCAGAATCAAGAAATGGCTCACCCAAGGTCACACATAATTAATAGCACAGTTGGAAGTTTGCAAATCCAGAACTCCTCCCATTACACCACAATTTACCTACCTGGTAGAGTGGGAAGTACCTAGGGCTTATAATCAGAGGATCTGAACTCAAACTGGAGTTCTGCTACTAAGTCATGGCATAACTTTGAGAAAGGCACTTAGTCTCAAAGTGCCTCAGTTACCTCTTCTGGTAAATTAGGGATCTGGGTTAGATGACCATCTATGGTAGAGTGAATAGAACACTGGATTTTGGGAGAATCTAAGTTTAAATTCCACCTCAGACCTTTAAAACCTACCTCACCTAACTTACTAGTTACCTGACCTTAGGCAAAAATCTCTCCTGGCCTGTTTTCTTATCTATAAAATGGAGATAATAATAGCACTTACCTCTAGGGTTGTTGAGACAACATACACAAAATGTGTTTCAAAACTTAAGGTGCTATAGGAATGCTTTTTGTTGCTCAGTCTCAGCCGACTCTAGGCAACCCCATTTGGGATTTTCTTGGCAAAGATACTGGAGTGATTTGCCATTTCCTTCTCCAGCACATTTTGCAAATGAGGAAACTGAGGCAAATCTTGCCCAGGGTCACACAGCTAGTAAGTATCTGGGGTCAGATTTGAACTCAGGTCTTCCTGACTCCAGGTCTGGTGCTCTCTATCCACAATGCCACCTAGCTGCCCTAGCTCTTATATGACCGCTAGCTATTATAGAATCCTATGATCTCAGTTGCCACTGCTTCCCTAAACAGGTGAGAATGGGGCTGGGGAGGCCTGAGCTCAGCATTCCAAGGAGGCCAGCTTCAAGGAAGGGTGGGGCTGCTTTGTCTGAGCCTGTGAATTGCCAGGTGTGGCCACCATTAAAGGTAAGTCCATCCCTGGGGTGGAGGTGGGGGTGACAGGCAGGGGAAAATTACAGTATATGTGTCTCTCTTTTAGCCCCAATATAGAACATATGTTTACTGACCAAAAAGAAAATTACAATGGAAATCTAGCCTTGAAGAGGTAAAGATTTAAAAAGACAATTCAAAGTGAGCACAGGAGGAAAGCAGTGCTAACACCATTGTCTTTTTTGTTGGGGGCGGGGGAAGAGCTGGACCTGAGCATTCTTCAGAGTGCAGAACTAGAAAGGTAGAAAATCCCTCCACTGGCACTAATCTGCACTTAAAGGCTAGCTCTTATCTTAAACATTTACCTGAGGCACTGGGAGGTTGAGTGATTAGCTCTGGGTCACACTTCAATATATTGGACTTGAACCCAGGCCTCAAAGAGTACTCAGAGACTAGACTCTCTAGTCCTTAGGTCAGTCCAGCCTCACTGGGGAATTGTTAGTAAAATAGATTTAGAATTTGCAGATCATTAGATCCAATCCCCTCATCCTTCAGATAAGGAGGCTGAGTCTTCAGTTAAGTGATCAAGGTCACACGGGTGGCCAGTCAGAGCCAAGATACTAATCCAGGCCCTCTATCGCTAATTCGATGTGTTTCCATGACACCCTTCAGGTGACATTGGAGAAAGCACGGCTGGACAGTTGCCCCAATTCATAGCGCAAGAAGTGGCCAAGGAATAAGAGGCTCTGGTTGGGGACTGCGAACAGAAGGGGTGGAGAGAGGCCGAGCTCTGACCCCAGGAGAAGACCTCTTCTGGCCCTCAGAAGTAGAAGTGGCCTAAGGGACTAAGCTCCTCCCCCTTGCCCCTCCCCGCACTAGGTGGGGCGGGGCGAGCGGCGGCCCGTCCCTCGCCGCCGTGCCGGGTTGCTGGGGAGCTAGCTGTTCAGTGCGCTCATTAACCAGCAGCTGCCCCACGCTGCTCCGCGCTGCCCCGCGCCGCCCCCTCCGCTTCGGGATACCTGGGGCAGGAGGCGAGCGAGAGAGCCGAGAGGCAGGTCCGCAGTCTCCTGCGGGAACTCGGAGAATCCCGGGGCGGGGTCAGGGTAGCGCAGCGCCACGAACCCAGAGACCTGCGGCGACGGGAGAAGAACCCAGGTGCTGGGAGACCTGAGACGAGTGGAGCTCGGGACCCGCAGAGAAAAGCGGGGCGCAGCTGCCCTCTCCTCCGGCCAGACAGTGAGGATGGAAGGCGCCCGCTCGCCCTGTGAGTACCGCAGCTCGTGAGTACCCCTCCCTCCTCCTCTTCCCCTCCCTTTCGCTCCGTTCTTTTCTCCTTCCTTCCCTCTTAGCTCCTCTCCTCCAGCTCTCTGCCTTTGTGTGGGTTTTGCTGCAGCCCCCTCCCCACCCACGGGCCCCAGCGCCCTCCTCCGTCCGTCAGTCCCTCCGCCCTCCTTTGTGGAGCCGCCCGCAGCCGCCGCAACCGCCCTTGAGCCCGGCCGGCCGTCGCCGCAGCCTCTCTGCCTCGTTGTCTCCAAGAGGACGCACCTCCGCCACTCTCCCCGCCCCCCCCCCGTGGGGCCTGGGCTCCAGCCCCGGCTTTGGGGCGCATCCGGAAGGGGGAGCTGCCCCTTTGGGTTGCCCTGACCCGTTCCCCTTAGGCCGGGCTCCATCGGCGCCCCCCGCCGCACGCGGGCGCTCAGCTTTGTGTCTCCAGCTCCCCCGCCCCCTCTTCCCCCACCCCTTTTTTCCTTGGGCTGTGCTCCGCTCCTGGAGCTCTCTCTGCGGCTGCGACTCCCTGGAGGCTCCCGGTGAGGGGCCACAGCGTGGGTGGGAGTGGGCTGGGGTGTGGGGGTACTGTCTCGACGTCCTCCCCGGCCGCCCCAGGGTCGGCGAGCAGCCTGCCTGCCTGCGCCCGGGCGCTAAGGGGCTGCGTCAAAGAGCGCGCCGCCGCCGCCGCCGCCGCCGCCGCCGCCGCAGGTGACAGGCTGGGCTGGGAAGTTCTCCCATCCCCCTTCCGTTCTCACGCTTTCCCTCTCTGCGCCCTACAGAGATGGACCGCGATGCCGCCAGGAGAGACCACCCCGGAACGCTGATGGAAACCCGGACTGAGGCCAGCGGTGACGCTCAGCCGGGGGGCAGCGGCGGCAACGCGGACGGTGAGGAGCCCTCGGCTGCAGCAGATCCCAATGCCCATCCCCAATCGGAGAAGATGCCGGAGCCCAGCATGAATGTGGCGGCTGCAGCAGCAGCAGCAGCAGCGCCCAGGGGCAGCCGGGCAGTTCCGAATCGGTGTGTCAGGGACCCCAAGCTAGTGCACCAGCGCTTCCTGCGGCGCAGCGTGGTGGACTCGGATCAAGAGGAGTTGCCCGGTTTGGAGCCCCCGGAGCCCGAGCCTTCCCCACAACCCCCGCAGCCCCTGCGCAAGGTCCTGCTGCTCTCCAAGACGCGCCGGCTCATTGCAGAGCGGGCTAAGGGCGGAGGGGCGCGCGCGGCGCCTGAACTCCCGGGGACCCCACAGCCACCGGCAGGCGCCCCGGTCCCCGAGGCTGCCCGAGAAGCGAGCCCAGGCCCCGGCAGCCGGGGGGATGGAGCGGCCGCTGCAAGTGCAGTAGCCTCTTCGGCTGCGCAGAGTGGCCAGGATGTGGAGAAGAAGGAGGCCGTCACGGTGGCGGCCTCTGCGGCCCCGGCAGAGGTGAAGTCTGAACCGGGGTCCACCAAAAAAGAGGAGCCCGAGGAGGAGGAAGACGATGAAGACGACTTGAAAGCGGTGGCGACGTCCCCAGATGGCAGGTTCCTCAAATTTGATATTGAGCTGGGTCGGGGCTCTTTCAAGACAGTCTACAAGGGGCTGGACACCGAGACCTGGGTGGAAGTGGCCTGGTGTGAACTTCAGGTAATCGTTTCTTACTCTGCCCAGTGTGGTGGACCAACCCCATTTCTCCCCACCCCTACCCCTTCCGGCCTCATAGCTCTCTGCTACCCCAATCCCTCCCTTGGGCCTTTGCTTGTGCATCTCACAGCCTGAGGCCTGCTTTGATCCTTTTACGGGTTAACTGCAGAGCGTCCTTAAAACCACCTGCATTTTCCCATTCCGTGACATTTGTGAGAAGCTGTGTGTGTTTGGGGCGGTGGGAAGGGACCCGTTAATGTATTTACGTGACTTTAGTCCATTGTTATCTCTGTAGACCACTTTTCTTTATGGATCTTTAGGCCATGGGTTCTGTTTCTGCATGGACTATGTAGTTTTCTTGTCATAGGAGTTACTGAATGACTAGTCAGTCGCTAGGGGAGGAGAGTGCCACCTGCCATATTAACTAGAAACTTCTGGGGTTTTAGCAAGGGTAGTAGCATTATTCTTTGTTTTTTAAAAAAAAACGAAAATGCTGGAATTTTAACTGTTAGTGTGGTTTGAAAGGATACCTCCTATCTTATTTGGAATGTCCATCCAAAGAAGTTTGTCACAGATTATTTAGCTTTGGGGAACTAGGTGCCAAATATATAGTCCTAAATTCCTAATTTTTTTGTTTCCTTGGAGTAGTCAGTGATGAGTAGAACATGGCAATTGGATGAGGGTGTCAAGGCCATTGGTTCCTTAAATGGATTCATGAATTGTTGAAGCTCTTGAAACAAAATCATACAAATTGTGAGTTTAAAAGTAAGGGCCATCCCCAGGCATGAATTTTTCATAAGTTCGCCACACATTGGCTGTGCCTGCTCAGTTTGCTACAGGATTATATAAACGGCAACATATGATCCACTTAAAGGGCAGTTTTTGGAAGCCTTGGGGTCCAATTGTCTAAATCTCTATCAGTACCTAATAGGAAAGAACTGCGCCAGTCAGTCATTCAGGGTTTTCCTAGTCTAATTACCCCTGAGATTTTTGTAAACTATTATTTGAACTGGGATCTAGACCCCAGTGACACTGAGGCAGAAACTTCAAGAGTGAATTCCAGGTCTGATGCAATGCTCAAGTAAGATAGTCCTTAGTGCCACCTAGGCTCATTTTTGATGGTCTTGGCAGACTACTGCTTGGGTACCAGAAATATGGTTCAGTTATACCACATCAGTCCGCATGTCATCTAGGTATGTTCCTGGAGGGAACCTAGATGTAATTGGGGAAGTCTGTCTAATTCAGTTACATCGAGGTTTTGGGGCTTGGGTCTTTCTCTAGAAATACAGAATATAGTTCTTTACTTCTTTCCCTGTCACACATTTTTTCAGTTGATTTTTTTTCTTTTTCAATACAAATTAATGAAATTCTGTCTGCTAGAGTTGGGTGTGGGGTGGGAATTAGCCCTATCTGTTCTACCTTAGCTTGTGTGTACTGCTGAGTTTGGCAACTGCAGAGCCAGCAACTTGGAAGCTAGTCAGGAAAAAAAAGACAAGTCAGGAAGGCCGCAGTGTTGAGGAGCCCGAAGGCCAGGGCAGCCACTCACCCATTGTACAGTAAGCATTGAATTTGATTGCGTAAGAAGGCAGGTCAGAAAAGAAAAACTTGAGGAAAGAGAAGCAAGAGGGTCTTTCCAGAACTGGTATCATTGTAATACTAGTGATTTCTGAATTGTTATTGCCTTTTTTCTTCACCTCCCCCCCCTTTTCCATGACTGCCAAATAGCTTGGCGTTGTGCTGTACATAGTGCAGGTACTCAGTCAATTGAGGCTTAGTTTGTAGGTTATAAAACAGGCCTGGGTTCAGGAAAGATAAGGTTCAAAAGATGAAGGGCATGCAACTAAAGGAGATGGTTAATTCTCTTTCTTTAAAGAAACTTTTAACAAAAGGTAGCCAGCCATATTTTTGGAAGTCTAAAGGACGATGAGAGATGATTTAGAGGTCATAAGGCCAGTGCCCTCATTTTACAGATGAGCAAACTGAAAGCCAGAGGCTTAAAAACACACTGGTAGTAAGAGACCTTAAGGCTGTCTGGTCAGACTCCTCTCAGAGTAGTTAAGTGATCTGGCCAAAGTCGCACAGGTAACAGTTGGCATTGTTCAGAGGCTAGGTCTTCTGATTCCAAATCCACCCCTTTTTGCACTGTGTAGACAGCGATGCTTCCCCTTAAAGCAGAAAGGTGAACTAAATGAAGTTTCAAGGTCATTTTCTGATGAAGGAAGGATACCCTAGGATTCTTTTTTTTCTTTTTATTGTGAACTTAAGAGCCAACACCTAGGATTCTTGATAGATGCAAAGGCAATAGGGTGGTGGTATAGATCATAAAATATTTCAGTGCCTGCCAGATGCTGTGTGGAATAAAGTCTGAGGTATAGTGGTTGCCCTCTAGTAGCTTAGAGATTTAAAACTGGGGAAAATGACGTGTTAGAAAAACATAAACATGCCAACAAAAACCACCCTGCCATATAAGGTGGCTTGGATTAATGCCAGATGAGAGGTACGCACAGGAAGTTTTGTTGGAATCCAAAGAAGAGGGAGGGTTCAGTTCTGCTGGGCTGGTCAGGGAAAATTTTTTGTGGAGGAGGTGGAGTTGGAGTGGGGCCTTGAAAAAAGATAAGGAGGGTGAGAGGATTTTGTATTTGGTCCAGGAGATGATAGGGAACCACTGGAGTTTGAGTAGAGGGGTTGACGTGATCAGGCCTGCCCTTTAGGAAAATCACTTTATCTGCTGAATGGAGGATAGATTGAGGAGAGAAGAGCCGAGGCAGGCAACAGGCTGTTGCAATAGTCTGGTAATGAGATGATGAGGGCCTGCACCAGAGGGGTAGCAGTGCCAGAAAAAAAGAAGGGGGCCATCTTTGAGAGATGCTGCAGAGGTGAAACTGACAGACCTTGGAAACAGATTTGGGGGGCGGGTTTGGAGAGATTCATGAGTAGATAAGATCTTTTTGAGTGTAACAGAGGAAAGGTTTGCTTAGGGGAGTAATAGGAGATAAGACTGGAAGGGCCAGATCATTGGAGGGCTTTGAATGTCAACTTAAGGCATTTTGACTTTGTCCTGTTTGGCAGTGGGAAAGTGTTTGAGGAGAGGAATGATATGATGAAAGCAGTATTTTAGGGATGTGAACCTGGCAACATATCACAATGGACTGGAGGGAAACTTGAGGCACAGGGAGTTCATTTGAGTTTTTTGGAATTTGATGAAGCTGTTAAGAGAGTTGGCAGTAGGAGTAGGAAACAGGACAGAGGAGAGCAACATTGTGAAAGAAGGCTCAAAAGGGCTTTCTGTTTGATTGTGGAGAGAAAAGAGGGTCAAAGATGTCTTCAAAAGACCCAGGAAACCAAGCAAATAGAGGCACGGCTAACTAGACTAGGGAAGTTAGGAGAAGAACCTGCTTTTGAAGGAAGGATGATGAATTCAGTTTAGAATATGATGGGTATGAGGTGATGGGAGAATAATGTGGTGGAGTTGACTTGCAGGAAGTTGGAAATGAGAGATGATCTACGGATTTGGGAGTCATAAGCATAGAAAGTGATAATTGGAGATGAGGAATTTTTTAAAGACTATCTTAAAACATAAATATTTTAAAAATGTATTTATGATCAGTGGTAAATATTGGTAGTAGCACTGAGCAGGGTGAAGGTCAAATGGCTATTATGGATATAGTAAAAGACTTTTTTTTTTCTTTTAAAATTGGATTACAGATAGTCTAGTCTTTCTGCTCATTAAAGTCTTTTGCTTTTATGTAGTTTTTCAGGTTTGGAGATTTTGTTGACTTAAATATAGATCAGTGAGTTCCAGATTCCCTCCATTCCCTCAGAGCTTTTAATCTTTGGTCCTTCAGAACATTCTCATCTATAATTATTCTCCTCAATTTTTTTCAACCACTCTTAAGTTTCTCATTATCTTTCCCCAAATTGGTGGAGACTTTTGAGGAGTATACAGATTCTTAAACCATAAGTAAAGAATGTTTAAATGTATTATATATATATATATTTTATATGTATATGTAATATATATTCCCCTCAATTCCCTGAATAAGGAAGGAATCATTTTTTGTGCTCAATTAACATGAATGCAGGTACAATGATATTTCCTTTGTCCTAGGAATAAGTTTTCTGTACAACTGAATTTTCCAGATAACTGAACTTAACCCTTTAAGCAGCAACAGTGGGAACAAACATTTGTAGGGATATATGGGTGTGTACACACACACACAGATACATACATACATATATATTTTTGTATATAGATATATTCCCCCCTCTCCTCCTTTTTAAGTAAGAGACATCGAATATAATTTAACCCTTTGTAGACATCTCAGGATACTCATGATCAATTTTCTGTTGCATGTGTAATGTTTGGTGATGGCTTTGGAAGTCATGGAAGTGGAGAAGGCTGCTAGACCACCCCTAAAAAGCCTTCGGGCTCTTATTGAACGTGTTATTTAGAGTGTCTCTCTTCCATTGTAATTTGTGTTGGCAGTGACCTATGGAGAATAGTATTAATTCATTTGCTTTCTTCTTGGCTCTTCACTTCTCTTCAGTTTGCCATACAAGTGGAAATTGTGCATCCGTCCTTGTTAGAATTGTGCCAAATATGAGAGAAAGTGGACTGTGATTTAGGGCTTATGGGGTTCTACTAGGAGAAAAAGCCATGAATTCATGGATTTTTGTGTATGATCTCTCTTTTGGCTACTTAGGGACTTTTTTTTTCTTTTTTTTTTCTTTTTGGTTTGCTTCCTGGTTCTCCCTCGTGAAAAAGATAGTTACAGCACAAGTGAACTCTGGCTAAAGTGAGATGTTATTGTAGAAAGAAATGACAACTAATCTTTAAATAGGCCCAGCAGTAGAAGCTTAACCAAAAAAAAAAAAAAAGATCACACCTGTATTCTTTAATTATGTACTTGGTTGGCAATGTGTTGTAGAAGTAGCTCAAGTAGGATCTGGTGTCAGGAAGATCTGGGTTCAAATTCTAACTTAGACATTTACTAGCGGTATAA